GTTGTATTGTATTGTATTGTATTGTATTGTATTGTATTGTATTGTATTGTATTGTATTGTATTGTATTGCCAGTGTTGTAGTACTCAAGACCGGTCTTGTACTTAAGACTGGTTTTAAGACCACTTTTTGATGGTCATGGTCTGGTCTTGTCTTGACCTCATTTGAACTCTGTCTTGTCTTCATTTTCAGGATTTTGTGGTAAGTTTTCCTCTGCCACATGYGGAGGAGCTTTCGAATTGGGACACCACTCAGTGTGGAGCACTGACATAACCAGCTGATAAATGCGCACTCATAAGGATGCAGCCCCTGAATTGAGAGACATCTTCAGTCAATTGAAAACCGATTCAATCCTGCAGTCTTCACGACCCATAGTTGAATAACAGATTTTTCTTTTGAGGCCCTCAAGATGTCGATTGTGGCCCAATTGTGTGTCACAACTCAAGTGTTAAGAATCTCTGGTCTAGGCTACAAACAAGATATTGTAGCAAGAGTATGGGAACAGCCAGTAAAAAATGGTCATTCAAGTAAATTTACAATGATCATTTACAAAACAATACTGTGGTCGCTGTGTGAGGGCCGCAGGCAATGTTTGGATAACTTTTTATTGACTWMAATKTCATTAAAAACAGAAAACATGCACTCTAACAGGTTCACCCTATAAGTTGCATTTGCTTGGTTAATGGCCTTAACTACTCACTGAGATGCAATGATAGCTTTTGTGTGGTGCAAAAGCAGCCAATGGTTGCACAGCGCAGCTGTAAGTGGTAGGCCAGCTGATTTGGGACCAGAAAGTCATTTAAGTTCTCATGCCCATATCTCATGGTGTCTGTCCTTGAGCAAGGCACCTCATCCCTAAGCTCCCTGATGCTTCCCCAATCTATTTCACGTGTGATGGTTCAAATGCAGAGCTGAAGTTTCATCATTGTATGGGAACATGCATTGATGATCACACATAGCATATTAATATTATGACTGCAGAAGAAACAGGAATTTCGGGACAATTTTTAAAATTTTTACAGGGTCATCTGTATTTGGGATTGTTTGATGAATAGGCCTGCTGTCAATGTATCTAAGTCTGGTCTGATAAGAGTTGTATCGGGGTGGGTGTATAGAGGCACAGGCCACAGCAGAGCTTCTTGAGGATGAGAACAATAGCATAATAGACCTACAATATTTGATGGTAAGAGAGCATTAAGAGCTCTTAGGTTGGGTAAGTTTTGGAAAGGATAACAAGATTGTCTTCCAGTGTGAAGAGAGCATTATCTCTGAGTTAATTCAGTTCCGTGTTAAGAGATTTCTGAACCTTAACGGAAATATGTTTTATTACAGTGTGATGTAACATTTAAACAATGKCTTCTATGTCAAATTTACAAAGATTGATTCAAAGTGCAAAGGACATGCAGCATTAAAAAAAAATGGCATCTTTAACAAAAATAAATAAATAATAAAATAAAATAGACTGCAGCAGTTCAAYAACTTTTATAATTTCAGTTCTGGTTGTTAGTCTATTAGTTTTATGTGCATAAAGCTAACCTAGAACTGCGTGTGTTGATGASACTATAAATGGAAAAAGGAAGTATTTCAATGAAGTATATCAACCAGAAGAAGAAATTACAACACAAAGGTTCAGAAAGGTTCAGCTTACCGTACGGWACTTTGATCATTTCAGGTTGTTCATAGTTATGCGCTTATTTACCTGCTTCAGCTGAAATGATCTGTGATCCGACAGATTTTGGGTCAGATGCAGCATAGCTGAGCCGGTCAGAACATGGAGAACTTGCCTGTTGTTCCTTTTGCTTGGAAACAAACTTCTCTTCGTAATGCAATAATGTGAGATATCCTTCCCCTAACATGACTTCAGGAGCGTCTTCTGTCTCTTTCCCCCCTTTTTGCCTCTAATGACAGCTATAAATTATTTTAGTAGTTCAGTCTGTTTGCAAATGTTAAGCTGCAGTTCCTTTTTCACTTCTTCAAATGCCCCCTCCTCCTCCCCAAATGTTCACTTCCTTCATTAAGCTGAAGCTGAAAATCCCCTCCGCACAAGAAGACATGAGGACATTTGTACAAATTAACAGAAAGGTGGACATGCAATACAACAATTTTTTTTACTCAGGTACTTTGAAAGATAAAATATGGATTGAAGCAGGTTAAGTTGAATTGAAAGCAGTTTTTTGAGTTTATATATTTTTATTTTTAAATTTTTTTAGCTCATACCTCCAAACACATGAAGCGTCCAAGGATCTGTAGAAT